GCATGCTGATTTAGATTGGTCATTATTTATGACATATCTCTTTTTCATAACTTCTCGACTGATGATTACTTTGAGATTTTATGAGACAGTATTTATTTGGCAATGAAAATTATTCATCAGTAGCTTTTAGTACTGCATAGCATTTTTTTCAAAACACAAATGAACAGTCCTTCATAAATAAACTAAGTACATACTACGCAGGTAACATAGTGTTACGGTTTTTGTATTTAGTTTGCTATTTTTAGTAGAATTATAATTAAAATTTTTTTATATCCCCGTGCAATGCAGCTTGAGACTTATTTTAAGAGAAAGCTATGCCGGAAAAGGGGATAAATAGATATCTCGTAATTCTATTCTTTTGCTTTCCAGAAACCTCGAGAAATTACCAGAAGCTTCTCGTGACTGATTAAAAAGACGGAAGAACATCTCAGTTTAGTTGTTTACTAAGTTATTTTTGTTTACTTTGCTGCCGTAATTTTTAGGTCGGATTAGCTCTTTGAATTGTGTTCTATTTAACGTTTTAGTAGTTTAAAATATAACTACTGTGTGATATTATAATATTGTACGGATATCTATGAGGAAAAATTTCAGCATTTTGTTTATTTCTTGTGATAAGAATAAATTTTATTAACTTTTCATCAGACTTGTGCATTCAATCTATGTATGTTACGAACCCGAACGCACGCAATGCTTTTTGGTGTCGGAATTGGGTTTGAATGCTAATCACAAGAGCGAAGGAAGAACAATTGAGAAAGCTTGTCACTGCTTTTGCTGTATTCGAAGAAAAGATGGAAGCTGGCCAAACATCCTTTAAAGAAGAGATAAAATCGGGACAGGAATCCGTTAAAGAAAGGTGGAAGCTGTTTAAGTAAAGATGAAAGCTGGTCAAGAAAGACGAAATTGGGCCACAAATCCGTTAAAGAAGAGATGAAAGGTGAAATCTTTTCGCGAATCTGTTAAAGAGGATAAGAATGGTGTTCAAGAAAAGACTGAAGCAAAGGAAATGGAAATAGAATTTACCAGCGTAGTAGAAAACAAATTCGAGGCTATTGAAGTCGAAATAGATTCGAGGCTATAAAAGTAGAATAGACTCGGTCGAAAGTAAGGTTGCAGAAATTAAAGAAAGAGTTTCATCTGTCAAAGAACAAATAGAAGGGAGAGTTTCTGCTGCGGAGGAATGAATTAAAGGAAGAGTTTCTGCCGTTCAACTCCAAAGCGAACAATAAATTGATGACAGGTTTCTGCGGTCCCCAAAGAAGTTGATACCTTGAAGAAATTCGTAGCGACGGCAGGGAGCAATATAGATGGTTTTAAATTTTCACCGATACCTGCTCTTCCTAATCTGAAACTATCTACATATGATGGAAAGGACCTCTTGGCAACTGTATGACACAATTTTCTGTAATGGCAGATGCGAATGGATGGAATTCCCAAGCTAAGGCCTGTCATCTCGCCGCTTCTTTGAAAGCAGACGCAGCGGATACCCTTCAGACTCTTCCCAAAAACAGAAAGCTAGATTTCCAAGCACTTTCCAGCGCGTTGGAGCTGAGCTTTTGGGAGAATTGTTTGAAAGACTACAGCAGGCTCAAATTAAAATCCCGTCAACAGAAGCCCACCGAATCAAGCAGTTTCGTGCGCTGGAAATAAAAAATTTTATTCTCAACACTCAGCGCCGTTCCTAGCTCATTGGCTGCCCACGTACTTTCTTGAGATTGCCACCCCCAAATTAAAAAAAAAGCTCAATGATTAATAAAATTTTTATTTCATGCTCACTAGATACTTACATAATGATAAATTGTATGAAAAGTACTTACAATAAATTTAATGAATTTAAAACATTTAGGCGTGGTATCGCCGAGAGTTCGGCCGCCCGCGTACTTTTACGCGCTGCATCCGCGCTACCAACGGCCCAGCCAACAGTTTTTCCACTGATCGCTTTCAAATCGTTGAGTTTGTTAATCAAAAATTCTTTAAAATTTCATAAAATATGAAATATAAAATTTGGAATTCCAAATCCAGGCTTCCAGGTGCACATTTCGGATGGAGGACAATGTTATTCAAAATTTAATGGCTCTAGGTACCGTCATTTTTTCACAGTGCGAGGAACATGCATGCATACATGCAGATTCTTCATTACTTTATTTATATAAAGATAATACAGGCCGATAATATTTGGTGGCAACAATTTTAAAAATGATTCGCTGTTTATAGTGGATGAGGCAAAATCCTGTTTTGAGACTAATAGCCAGTTTGAGCTAAAAATTGTTGTATTCTATGAAACGCCTTGTTTAATGAAATAGAGTTTTAATGAAAGAGTGCTTACTAACCACTCTTTCATTAAAACTCTAATAATAAAGAATTGCATATGAAGGCCCGTTAAACTAAAGACTCTAGTTGAGAGTTGTGATATATGATAAGTGGATGTTAAAAAAATAACCTAAATGTGCCCAAGTATAGTAATCTATAAATTTTAATAAGAGGGATTCATTATTCGTAAATAACTTTTATTTTTCTTCTCCTTATATTAATGATCATTTCCTTCGTTTTAATGATCTGAAAAACTGAATTAAAATAACTCCGGGTCTTAAACAAAACTGCTTTTACCTACGGATCTAAAATAATTAACGACTAACTTCATAACTAGAATCTTATTACGTTATTATTTATTTATAATTTTCATAATATAAAATAATATTTACATTATTTAGAAAGTGTTTCTATAATTATTTTACATTTTAGTTATTTTGAAAACATTCCTTAGTTACTTTTTATGAGTGATAAATAGACTTTGCTTATTTTACTCAAAGCAATACTATTTGCAGGATGTTTCAAGTTCATAATTTTAAAATTGGAAGCTTGATTTTTTTTTCTTTTTTGTAAATAACTTTTGTAATGTTAAAATATTCTCAAAAGTAGTATTTGAGTACCGGGCTATTCAAATCAGCTGAAAAAAATCGTTAAAAACCCAATTTCAAATTTTTAGTCACAAAGAAAGTATGATATCGCTTAAATAAAATAATTTCTAAAACATAACTTTATAAAATTTGAATATTTTGTCATATCTTCCTAAAATAAAACTATAAAGTATAAGTTTATTGACAAACAAATATATATAAGATGAAAGAAAATCATGAACTTGATTTCAAATATCATGCGCTTATCAGTTGCACTGTTTGAAAATGCTGTTAGAACTGTTTTTAAATTATCACATTGGCTTTACACTTCCTTCTGGTAATGTGCTGACAACGTGCTTTTATGGAAACAACCAACCCAAACTGTGACCAACTGGATGCAACAAATTAGGTCAAATGTGGGTAGAGGAAGACAGAAGATCCCTGTTTATTTCTTTCCATAAATAGTTTAGGTTATATGTATAATCATCTTATCTCGGGACTTAGCTCCCGCCGCTCGATTGACAAGTCCCGTGACAAACTTGAGATCTGAAAGAAGAAGGAACTGACTTTTTGTTTACGTTACCTTATCAGCGATAAGAGCGAAATCGTAAACGTTACAATATTCAACTGTTGGTTATTCACTAAAGTTAGGTTTGCACCCGTCTCAAGGATAACTAACAGGGAAACAACATTTTATCCCCGCCTTCTGAGTAGTAAATTTTGATTTCATGTGCACGTGATAACGTCGTGCGCTGACTGTTCTAACGCGTCGTAATCAGCAAACCTCCGCAGATAAATATCGGGGGAAACGATGCTCCTGAAACAGTCTACGTATAGGAGATCTCTCCAGAGAAACGTTTATTACGTTCTACCTTTGCAACATCTGAAATGGCATCTATTTTGCCTGCATCCCCTATTCACAACCTGAATCTGAAGGATTTTCCATGGAATTGTCGATATCCACGAAATGGGTGGTACATTGGTAAGAAATAATATTTTTTCTTTAGATTTTTCTTTTGTAGCATTTCATGCTTTTCTAATATCTAAGTAAGATGCAATTATTACTTAGCGACTAAGTTAAACTTTTGTACTCTAAGCTAAAACTTTGTTCATTATGCCACAAAATTTCTCTTTGTTTCTTAGAAACTCTTTTAAAATGAACATTTTAAGATCAAATATTAAAATACAATCCATCTCCAGGTCTTAACCTGCTTTAGAAATCTTGTTTAAGTATGGATTCTTTCAATTATAAGTATTCAGAAAGTGTAAAATTTGGAGCGATCACAGAAAGAAATTAAATCGCTCTTTCATCATCATTTAATCTTTTCTCTTCTTTTGTCGAAGGAAAAGGGGTTAGACTAGAAAGAAAATATTAACAACTTTAATGAACAAGAATTGTCTAGCACTGAAAATTTAGGTAGGAGGTCCACCCTGTCTATTATTCTCTATTCTCCATCTCATAGATCCAAAGCTTATTCCGATGTTCCGAATCAGTAAATTGCAAATTAGAAAAAGCCATTTGAGGTTTTAAAAAAATCGCAAGACCAATGGTTCATTAACAGTTCTTGTTTCTTTGATTCGGGAATTATAAAAAATCAAAAAAGTTCAAGATAAAATATTTAGATTTTAGTTTTCAGTAAAATGCTTAAAAACATTTAATAATCTTTTAATCATATATAATGTATTTTTTTTTTTTTTTTTTTTATTTGCTCGGAAATTTTTCAATGAAGCAATAAGGAATGCCAAGCTTGATTACTGTTAACCAAAGAAAACTTGAGAAGTACTTCAACTGCGACTACTGTTTTTTAAACAATGAACAGTACCACGTTGAATTACGGAGGAGGCATAGTCGTGGCATTATGCAAATTAGATTATAGTTAATGAGTGTGCTGTGGACTTGTAGATTTGCATTTCATTCAGCGTCTTATTCTCATTTACGTATTAGCCGAAATCTGATTTATTCTTTTACTGAGTCCTATAAATATTTCCGGTTTCTAAACATGGATGATCCAATAATTTCTAGGCCGTATCAAAACGGTATAATGGCTGTGGCTAAAGGTAAGAAAAGACATTTTATGCTAGAAACATATATATCTAAATAGGAGTTTACGCCACGACGTTCCTTACATTATTTCCTTAAATCTGATTCGTCTGTGCTATCTGATGTGGGAAGTGTTAGGTCATATTTTATCGATTGCTGTTTTATCAGATATGTGGCAGAAATGGATTTTTGATTCTTCATAACTTGGATGCATACTCACTCACCGTTTGCATGTCATTGTATAATTCATGAAATCTGTGATTTCCCTAATCTGATTAATAACTAACGAAAATGCACAGATTATTAATTAACCGTAGCCGAAACTATTTTTTGTTGTTTCGTCAGTACAAGAGACTGCTGAGGCAAGTTTTACTGAGTGAGTAATTTAATTTTTAAAAATTTTTTATCGTGTAAATAAATTGAAGGCTTGGAATTGCAATGTTTGTTCACTGTCTATAAAATTTATGGTGGAGGTCATTAACCTAAATTGATATTTAATCACGCAACGTAAGTTTTCTGCTAATTGTTAAAGATATTACTCTTTTTAAACTTTAAAACTGTTTGTGCGTTTTCATTTCTTTGCTGCATAATTCATTATTCAAGCCTAAAAGATAAGATTTTTATATCCTGATATGTATTATGAGGTTAATTTTCCTCATCATGTTGTAAGACATAATTTGTATTTAACACTGTTTCAGTGGCAGTTAATGAATGTCATTTGCTGTGTGTAAACTAGGATTAAACTTAAAGCGTTGTAAATTAAAAGAAAAAGGGCGTCTTAAACATGAAATATGTATTAGGCTTGATAATATTGACTTTTTCCAAGTTTTTGTTAATACATCTTGCATCCCTTTCCCCAAAAAAGAGGTAAAATGTTATTCCTCGACATGTAAAGCATGCGATTGTTGGTTTCAAACGTTTAAAATGTAGGAAAAGTTATTTTATGGGTGTGTTTTTCTTGCCTTTTAGGTGGTGTACGTTGGTTATCAAAGGAAAGTGGTGTTGCTAGACCAGTAGTCATTTGTGGACCATCTGGTAGTGGGAAGTCTACCCTCCTTAAATACTTGATGAAGGAGTTCCCGGACTATTTTGGCTTTAGCATTTCACGTGAGTGACTTGCATCAAAATTTAGGTCTGTTTTAAGTTATGATAAGAATTATTTTAAAATTAAACTCTAAGTATAGCCATGACTATTTATAGTAAATAATATATATTCCAGTGAATATTTTATGATAAATACAAACATTGCATTGAATTTGAAATTATACATAATAATATCATAGTTGATTAACTTTATTATAAAGATTGCTTAATGTTTAAAAGTGAAATATCTGAGGATTGTTGATGCTAGAAATTACTATTAATAGAATAATAAGTTTATTCTCAAAGTTATGATTAAACATTATTAATTCTTATCTTAGAAATTATTAAGCAAATAATTAAGAGTATAATATCAAAATATGTTCAGTTTTGTATAAATTAGTTGAGAGCAGTTTAAGTACTTGGTAAATTGATTAAAATCAAATTTACTATTGTTTAATTTTTAATTTAATATTAAGTAGTTTATGTTTGTGTACATAATTATGTTATGCTAAGAAAGGATTTTTCTTCTGCTTTTAGATACGACACGGAAGCCAAGACCTGGTGAAACACAAGGCAAAGGTATGTATACTCATTTTAAATTTCTGTTTTTAAGTTTTCTCTTTCTGGATACATGTAAGATAGTCTTTTTAAGATATATTTTATCCATTTATAACTCTTAAAAGGAAAGTTTCAGTTTTCCTAAATTGGTTTAAATGATATATGGGCAGAATAGTCCATCAATAAAAATAATAGATATGGTGTCAAAAAAGGTGTTTATTCCAATTTTATACTCTTGTATACACTGGTATCATCTAAAAACGTAAGCTAGTTAAAAAAAATAAGTGTATAAATGCACTTTTTCACATTGCTAGATTGGCATAAGTAAGATTCAAGTATACAGCTAGAGGCAGAAGTAAAGAGACATTCTTCTTTAAGTAAAAGCAATGTCCTGTGCCTTTTAATGTATTGCATTTATGCTTGTAAAAAGGCTGCCTATTTCAGTTTTGGAATTATGTGCCACATTTTATCCTATATCCTCGCCAATTTCCCATATAATCTGACACTATACGTTGTACTTGAGGAAATCTTATTTAGGTTGAATCAAAATTCTTTAAATGAAAAATCGAATGTTAATGCATTTCATTATTGTTATGCATCCTGTAATACAGAATTTGAGGAAGATTAAAAGTTCATTTTGTGTTGTAAAAATGTTATATATAATGCTTCACTCTTTCACTCATCATTAGTTACAAATATAACATGGGAATTTCTAAAATTCTGATGTCTATTAAATATTCAGCTTCCACAAAATTTCTGTAGATTAAATTGTAATCTATTCTAACATTGGTCTTAATTTTGTATATATCTGTATTCTAAGAATAAATATTTATTCATCATAAGAATATTGGGGTTTTCATCCGCAGAGAACCCATTTGGGAAAGAACCCGTTGGCACCGTTGCATTTTTACTCGCCAAGCTCATGTTTCATCGGTGACGAGCCGAGCCGCAAACGTGATATTTTGTAAACATGATTTTTCGTGCATGTAAATTCAAGTTAGCAGACAAAACAATATATTAAGCATATGGTAGTAAAAATTCACAGATAATAAGCATGTAGATGTAAAACGAACTGGTTAAGTGAGATATTAATAAATTGGTATCAATTCAAGTTAGCACAGAAAAAGACTATCTAAGATAGGACAATATATAAGCATTTAACGGAATAAAATTCATTTGAAAAAATAAAGTAGTATTAATGACTTGAAATTAAACGGTTAACGTGAAAAAACAATTGTCTTAAATTCAGTTATACAGAAAACATATTCCTTACACCAGCAGTGGTTGCTAATTGTGATGACATGGTGAGCTCAAAACTATTCTGTAATTAGAATCCATAAGATTTTGATTCAGTTTAATCATCTATTAGTCACACTAGCCATCCTCTGAAGGTATTGTAGAAAGCATAACAATATATGTTAAATTTATTATTTCATTTAGATGACAATAACCATAATAAACATAAAAGATTACTTAGTTATTAACTTGCTGGTTCTTAGAGCTGGAGAATAAGAACACAATGTGACAGCAAGGGTTACAAATTAGCATTCCCTCCCCGATTTCTTCCTCATCCCGAACAGAGAAGAACTGGCATCCATCTACAAAAATATTTCTATCCATTCATTTAAAAAATTTGAAAAATAATGATAAATAAGAGAAGAATAATATAAATCGCAATGCGAACAACGACAGTGATAATTCACAAATGAACCAAGCGGAGTTGGTTGCAACCTTCGACAAGCATAGGAACATAGAGGGTTACCAGGTTTGAACTATAATCGCCAAAGTTGGCGATGTTTACATTTACCGGGTTCTCTGCGGAAGTGCTTCCAAATATTGAAGTTTATTTTAAAAATTATGAGCATCATAAGGTACCTTTTTGAAGACAATTGAATTCTAAATATTATCTAACCTTTATCATCTATGCTGTAAAATATATTAATATAATAAAAAATTGATTAATGTCCCCCTCCTCCTTCTTATCCTGATATGTAATGAGAGCAAATTAATTTAACATGCCTTGAAGACGTAATCCTTTTTAATTGAAACTTAAACCTTCATTTTTCAGATTATAACTTTGTAGACAGAAAGGAGTTTGAAGAGGCTATTGCTAATGGTGAATTTTTGGAGTTTACGGAATTTTCTGGAAATATTTATGGTACTAGGTATGTTCTGCATTCATTCTAGTTAAATTTATAAATCTCCTTGAAAAGATATAAAATGATTAAATTTTTTACCCTCTGAATTGAAATTTTTTAAATTTGAGTTTGGCATGTCTACATGCATATTTGAAATTTGGCATATGTAAAGTGTTAAATTTTATAACATTTTGCATGTTGGTATACTCATTCCTGTGCTTACCTCGTACTTGCGTGTGCTGTACATTTTTTGCATATATTTTAAAGTGCTGTTTCTTTGCAGTAAAAAGGCTGTGAAGAATGTGCAGAATCAGGGTCGGATATGCATTTTAGACATTGAAATTGAAGGAGTGAAAAACATCAAGAAAACAGATCTGAATCCAAGATTTATATTTATCAAACCACCTAGCATTGAAGTATTGGTAAGTTTAGATATATTTTGTATGTTTATTTTAATGTTACAATGTACTTTCTTAATATATATATATGTGTATGTGTGTATTTAATAGATACATGTGTCCAATAATTTTAATTTAATCAAATTCCTGGAGAACATAATCTAAAGTAATTGGTCTTT